AAATTGTAGATTAATTTTTGAAAAAACTCAAATATCATCAGTTTGCAATAATTTCCAGACTTAATGTGTACTTGTTAGAAATTTTGAAATTTTAGAGTTTTTTGCTATTTTTAAATTTTGAAGATGTCTTTTGTTGTAATTTTTTATAACTTTAAGGTTAATTTTGGTAAATTTTAAATTTTTAGGTGCATGAAGGTAATCTCTTGAATTCATCTTTTGTTGTTTCCAAATTTTAAAATTTTAGAATTTAATGGTGGTTTTTTATAATTTGAACTTTGAGGGTGTTTCTATAATTTTTGAGACATTGAAGGTGTTAATTGGAAATTTTAAAGTTTTCAGAGGTGGTTGTTAATTTCTTAATGTTGTGTTTGTTATTCTAAGTTTGAAATGTTAAAAATTTTCAGGTGCATCATGGTAATCCCTTGAATTCATTTATGTTGTTTGAAAATTTTGAAATTTTAGAATTTTAGGGTACTTATTTGTAATTTAAACTTTTGAGGGTGTTTCTATGATTTTTTTGACATTCAAGTGTTAACTGTAAATTTTAGATTCTTCATAGACTGCTATTAATATCTTGATTAATATTTGTTGTTTTAAGTTTTAAAATGTTAGGATATTTTTTATAATTTTAAACTTTTCAGGGTATTGTGTAATTTTAAAACTTTTAGGTTTTTTTGCAATACTTCATGTATTATAGTATATTAGCTACATATAATTTCTTTATCTTAACAAACTAATACCGTAAAGCTATTTTATATATTTTATTAATATTTTTTAAATTGTTGAGCTATAGATAGTTCACGTAAGATTAGGATATGATATAATTATAATTAGGATAGATTTAAGATATAAATAAATATTCAAAATAATGAAGGGCAATATTGATCATGAAAAGATTTTCCCGAATTTGTGCTTTTAAAGGGAGTATGACTAAGTAGAATGCGCGTGCACTACACGTGGTACGTGCCTACACGTGGTCAAATATTATAATTATTTACTTTACGTTTATTTATTTACCATAACATGGTTGTAAAAAACTTTATAATTATTATAATATATTAATTTTTTTTTGGATATTTTCATGTGTGACTTTAACATTTTATGTTCCAGAAAAATAGTGATGTTTAAAGCCTTAAAATATTAATAATTTAAGATTAAATAGTAATTTTAATGTATAGTTTCAAAATATTAATGATGTAATGGACCAATATGGAAAAACCTATTATTATTAATAAAAAATAAATTCTTGAGTTCATTAAGGAAAATGGTAGGTTTTATCTAGTCATTAAGGATTTTGTTCAGTTATAAAAAAATCACTTTCACCTGTTGTTTACTTTCACTTGTTGTTTATCTGGCGATCGAGTATTATAAATATTCAAGAATTTTTTTCTAAAATTTTCTAAGTTAGAATGTGCATATTCAATCAATAAAGAAAATATAAATTATGTGATCAATTCCAAAATCTGATGTTGTTTTTATATCTTCCCAAATACTAATTGATCTATCAAAATGATTACTCTCTGGTTTCAAAAAATTATAAAATATAGTCTGAGAATGATTTGTACATATTATGCACTCATATTGATTGAATTTTAATAAAATAATTTATATCTATCCAATGTCAAACAACATTCAAAAATTTAGCTTAAGGAGTTAGAAGAATACAATATTTGCAATAATAGTTATATCCAAGCTATGAGCTTCAAAAACTTATAAGAATATGAGCAATATAAAATGACAACTTAATATACTTTGTCAAATAATTTATTACAAATTATGAAAGACAAGGGGAATCAGAACGATCATATACCCATCCTAAATAAATATTAATTTTCTCTTAGAGATTCTTATAGCAAAAGATTTTTAGAGTTGATGTGTAGGATAAATTTAATGACAGGTAACCCAAACTAATTCATTGAATGATAGACTTGCTATAAACTCCACTCTTATAAAATTGATATCACATGTGCCTTAATTTGTGCTTTTGTTTAAGAGTTAGTTTTAGAAAACTCCCCCTCAACTATATAGAGCATGACAACCCTAACCCCCCCGGGGGAAACTATTTAAGACTGAGTAAATCTCTGCCAAGTTTTGTAGATAATCTATCTCAACTTAAATTTTTTTGATTTAACCTCAGTGAACTTTTCTCACTTAAACCTAACCTCTCAAAAGTAACATCATAAAATATTATCTATTATGTGACAAGTACTTGACTTGGAAAGACCAAAATATCAATCAATCATAAAAGAATTACCTTAGCTTTTGCCAGATAAAAGAGGTGATATAAAGGGAAAAAATTATAAATTGGTTGTGATCCTTTTATTGTCGGTTGATGGTTTCTATTTAACTAAAATTGCTTTCTTCAAGAGGGTATTTTTTCCAAATCATATATCGTAGTAACTATGTTAAGGGGGTTTGTTGATAGGAGTGTAAAAGATTAGGGGAGTTTTTATAAGATACGCTATAGTTGAGAGATATTTTCTAAAATTGCACCAAAATTGAAAGGGTTATTTATAACACCTCAAGTTGAGAGATATTTTCTAAAATTGCACCAAAATTGAAAGGGTTATTTATAACACCTCACATAATGAGGGGGTTTTGTCAAATTGAATCAGTTGAGTGAGTTTTTTAAGACAATCCCTATAGTTGAGAGGGTTTTTTAAAAATTAACACTTCTTTTAATATGGCTTATTTATAATTTGTCCCTCAAAATTTTAATAATTTAATATTAGTCTTTAAAATTATGAGCAATTTTAAAAATTTGTGGGAATAACATAGAATCATTAGATATTTAAAATCAAGGAACTAATATCTAAATAAACTTTACATATTTGCTCTTATAGGCAATCTATTAAATATTGACCAATATATTGCTATATCGGCTAATATATCGGGTTAAAGACTTTATCTTACTAATATTTTATATTATTTTCTTTTGTTTGTTGACTTTTTTGATAAATCGACCGTTATAAAAAATATGGCCGATATATCCCTTTGAAGATATCGAGAAAATCATGTCATTTTTCAATTTGATTGTGGGCTGGGGTTTGGATCGTGTTTGGGAAATAAAATTAGAACCTGTAAAACCCACAAATGCCACAATTCTCCTCCCAAATTTCTCCACTCTAGGCTATCCCAAATCTTAAACATATATCTTGATGCAAATTCTTATGTTTAAACTTCATAAATAAGTTAGATTATATATTACAATGTCATGTTATGTATGAATATTTACTCATATGACACCCAGTCTTACATACATATCCCTAATTTTTGCTACCCGATATCATGGAATTTAGTTTTTCAATATTTATTTGATGCTAAACACTTTGTAGTAATCCTTCAAAAGTCTCTTCTAAAGTTTTCTAAGCGAAGTATATAATTTCAAGAAATAATTCAAAATCTTAAGACTCATTCAAAATATGATGCTTTAATGTTTCCACATCTCTTCTACTATATAAATATAGGCTAAGCATCTGGCCTCATATTGTATGATAAATATTATTTGTCAATAGGAACATATACTATCGTTTATAGATAACAAATGTTTCAAATCTTTTCTAGGCTTAACTGAACTTAAATACCTTGTAGTTTACCAAATTTATATTTATATACCTCCACTTGTATCTTGCTACACTTTTTTTAAAATTTTAGATAATGTATCTTGATGCGCTTAAATGTCCTAATGTTTTCTAAAATTTAATGATTGTACATTCTGTCTTGTTACCTAAATATAAGAATGCTCTTTGTAATTGTCCTATATGAGTTTCATGGTATAATTTTAGGAGAATTCTATGTTTTCTATTATTTCCATAACTACTTTATTGACATGCAATTATCTATTAATATATTATTATACATTACTAATAATTAATATGATGTAGAGTTTAATATATTATTATACATTACTAATAATTAATATGATGTAGAGTTTTATAATAACGTTAGAAGTTCTAAAGACCTAATTATGTAAACTTAAAATTATGTAAACTTAAAGTGACATATAATATAATTAATTAACAATGATAATTAATTAAGTTTAGTTAGTATTAGAATGTAATATCAAAAGAGAATAGGGGTAATATAGTCCTTAGAAAGTTTTTCCACAACTCCCTCTTTTAAAGGGAGTATGATTTATAATAAATTATCATATATTGACGAATTTTGTTATCATTATAAATTATTAATATATTCTAGTGAGACCAAATAATTTGAGAAAATGAAGAGGTGCATAGTTAATGAGAGGCTACGAGTCATTAGTTTTATAAATAATGGTATATTTTTGAGTTATAAAAAATTGAGAGGGTAAAAATTAAAGGAAATCAAAAGTTTTGACATGAGTATTCTCTTTGGGAAAAATGCCTCTAGCCCCCAAAATGCGCCAGAACATGCTGCCCTCCCCCCTCCACAGTCTTTTTCAACGGGTGTTTTGCCCCCAAAAGTAAAATTTTTGTTCTCTGAGCCCCAAAACACAAAACCCAAGAGATTAAAATACCTGAAGACCATAATACCCTCCATGGCCACCTCCTCATTCCTCTCCAAACTCAGCGACCGGAACCTCCTCTTCTCCTCCTCCTTCCATGGCCTCAATCTCTCCTCCGCCTTCAAAACTCCAAAACCCAATCTTTCTCCTCCCCATCATCGTCATCCTCCGCCCCCCAAATCTCCGCCTCTTACGACCTCTCCTCCCTCCGCTTCCGCCCCATCAAAGAATCCATCATCTCCCGCTAGATGACCCGCCGCTACATGACCGACATGATATAGTTATAGGTATAGATGTGTGCAAGTGCAAAATGAATGATTCATGCGTTTGTTTAAACATTATTTTTCTTGTTGTTTTACATATGATTATTGGTTTCGGCCCTCACAGATTATGTATATAGAAGCTAAATTAAATTAAAATGCTTCCATGAATCAATTTTTTATCCAGATTTTAATTAGAGGAAACCGGCAAAAGATCACAAATTTTTCATGTTTTAGCTGTATCATGAAAATTTAACATGTGCAATGTACATGCATTCTACCTAGTAACAACAAATGTGCTTGCAACGTCTATCACTCCAGCTCTTGTTGTTATAACACTCATTAAATTGTACGCAATTACAGCTGATATAGTTCTAGCTTATTTCGTTATTTTGCAACGAAATCTCAACCATACAGACATCTATATTGAAATTTGACTGTAAAACAACATAGCTAAATCTACATTTCATCCAAAACAACAAACTATAACCTTGGGGAGTGTGACGCTAATTCAGCTGGCCCAATTATTTAGCCCATAAAAACAAAAATAGGCCCTAAAGTTTAGCCCGTGTGAATCATAGCAAAATTTGTCTGGGATCGGATCAAAACTCCGTCACATTCGACCTGGGCCAAACCATTCCGAGTCCCAAGCACGCGGACTGAACCGCCGCGAGCAGCACAGAAGAGAAGCGAAGCGAAGATGCAGCAACCGCCGGCAGAACCTTGGGGAGTGTGACGCTGATTCAGCTGGCCCAAACATTTAGCCCATAAAAAGCAAAAAGAGGCTCTCCCACGCCTCCCGCCTCATCGCGGACATCAGGCTCGGGGCCGATCACCTCCTTGAAGCTCTCTTCATGGCCGGAGACGCCCCTCGGCGATCCAACAAGACCGCCCAGCTCATCCTCAAGGAGGAGGCAGCCATGCAGCAGCACTTTCAGGATCTCCGGGACCTCGGTACTTTGGTTTCTCCCCTCTTCTAGGGTTAGGGTTAGGGTTAGGGTTGTGGTTTTGGGTGTTCTCTCGTTTTCTGTTGAATTTGATTGGTTTGGGAGCTATAGCTAGATTTAAATCTGTGAAATGTCTTGAATTGTGGACGGTAATAGACTAATTTCTTGAATTCCAAAGAGTAATGGTTTGCTTTAAGTTAGCGTTGTGGTTTAATTTTGGGGATGACATAATGGGTCATTTCGAGGATTAGGAGGCATACAGCTAGAGTTTCTTGGATGAACATACAAGCAAAATGGGGGAAAAGGGAGATCACCCATTCAGTTGGCATCAAATTTTAAGTCGTTATGTAATAGTTACTAGAAATAGTTACACGGATTTTAAAGGGTTTAGAAGTGAATCCTCCACCTGGTTATTACAACTTTACATGCACACTAAATCACAATAAAAGGAAAATGGTGACACATAAATGGGTAAATACACCTTGGTAGATTCACAATTCTACCAAGTCAACCGACACATGTCAAAACATAAACAGTTGATTGTAGCACAAGTGTAGACCGCTAAAGAAACTCTCAAGTTAGAAGGTATTGAAAGTATCAAAGATATAAACAAATCTAGGATGTATGTCAAGAGATAAAACCTTAACCACATACCATGTGAAGATGCTAGAATGAAAGATCAGAATTGAAATCATTTTTATTTTATTTTTTTGCACTACATTTTAACTTCGGGGCCATAAAATTTCTCTTCTACATCTTCATGGTGTTTGGGTTGCATTTAATGTTTTACAAGACATCAAGGTTTATAAAGCATTGCCATTCTTTTAAATTAAGTTGTGTTAGTGGTGCTCATGTCGGAGACGACGCTTCTTAACATGTCCTTAATTTTACCCTGGCACTTTTTTGTGCACTTTTCAAACAGTGTTAAAACTTTTTTGTACTAATTAATTAAAGTGTCTGTTTGCTGCTCCACAAGTTTAAGAAACCATTTTTTAAAATATAAACATCACAATGGTGACTTGTATATAAAAATAAAAATTTTATGATATATTTCAACAAAAGAGATGAGATTATTAAGTTACTTTGTAGAGAGACGATGATCGAGGGCTATTTCTCATTCAAGAACACAGGATACCTATGAGAAGTGGCATTGCCTTTTTATGACTGTGCATGTAAACATATACATGCATTTATTTCTTTTGAAGAATGTACATGCATTAATATACCAACTCATGTACATGTTCACGGTGCATATCGAAAGTATCATGATATTGTCGTGTCCTTACATCCTACTTTAAGGAGAAGTTGTGAATTCGTGTCCACATTGTGTTTTGTCTGTTTCCAGCAGCAGTATTCATGCATCTCAGATCAAAGATCAAAGGAGCGACCTGCATGTATTTGTCAAGTTTGGTCATTCATGGATGCAATCCTACCTCTGCTGCTGATAGTAAAATCTTATCATTCCCACTGTTATCATATCCTAGAAGCGCATGGTAATTTTGCCTAAACAAACACTTTTGGTGCGCCTATCATATCTGTGAATCTATGTAGTACACAAGACATCCTAGTGATCAAAAGTGCAAATGGATGCTGAAGATTTTAAGTCATTGATGGATCTGACTTACTTTGGTTCTTGTGTGGTTATAAATGAAGCTTGTAAGTATTTGAGATGTGTTTTTTAGCAATAGGTGGCTTATTTTTTTGGTGATCTTCTGTCTTTGATGCTACAAGACTATGCTTTTTGTTAATAGGCGATCACTTCTTTGCTTATTTGTTCACCATTCGTTGTTATTTGGTTACGTGCTGCTTTACCATGTAAAAATGGATGATTGGTTTCAATTTGAAACTTTTTACTTGAGAAATTATATATCATGGTTCTTTCATTGAAATCATGCTCGTAATTTTGTTCTTTTTTCCCTTGACATATTGGCAACTGAAGGTTCTATATCCTTTTATTGTTAGGAAGGCAACTAGAAGATTCTGGAGTACTAAATGGGTCTCTTAAATCACGAGGTAACTCTTGGGGTTTGCATATGCCACTTGTTTGCCCTGATGGTGCTGTTGTTGCTTATGCTTGGAAACGTCAACTTGCTGGCCAAGCTGGTGCATCCGCTGTTGACAGAACTAGGTACGTCCATTTTGTCTTTCTATATGGTCAGCGCTAAATTCTGGTGAACTTCATCAGAACTGTAATGATCTTTAATAAACAAAATTAGCATCACATACTCCTATCTAGCCGTCCAAAAAATAAAAAAAAGAACAAATACTTCAGAATTTTTAGAGACTTTAGCTGTTAAATTTTTTACTGATAGCTCTCAAATATTGCAATTAGAGCACACAAAATTTTTTGTCCTTGTCTTGATGTTGTGTCTTATGTTTGCCTATTGCGCTTGATGTCCAATTTTTAATAAAACACGCAGGGGCTTGGTTTCTAAGGTTAAATCTCAGTTTTTTTCTATAAAACAATTCAACAAACAAGAATTCCTGGTAGTTCATGTGCTACAAGACGTTAAAATTTTACAAGTATTAAGTTTTTCTTATTTCTAGTTGTTATTTATTTCTTTTATACAATGATTATGATGGCTAATGTCAAAGTTATGGTCGTAAAATTTTGTCACATCTTATGGACTCTTCCGTTCCATAGTTCGCATTTCAGTGTGAAGACGTAAATTGTATAATTTAAATTATCAATAAATGGCTGAAAGCCAGCTGGGGTTCTAATGTTGCCCTTGAAAAATAGTGCAGCTGTAGGAAAAGTAATCGGTAAAAGGTTTACTGAATATTGAACAGAGAATGCATGGACTTTTGTATACGTCTAATGTGTTGCTACATTTTCATGAAATCTGGGTTGACATACTGCTTTTATTTATGCAAAATGTTTCAAATTGTTAAATATTATTTTGTATCTGAGTTGCATGTGATAATTGTTAGTGAAATCTTCTTTTGTCAAATCCCCTCCCGTTCCATTGCAGATTCCCTTTCAGTGTGAAGACATAAATTCCACTTCAATTTTAAATTATCACTAAAAGGCTGAAGGCATGGTTTTAAAATATCGGTTATCAGGAATATATTGGATGGCCAAAATTCATATTGGATTATGGCTATTGAGGATATATCAGAGACAAATAGTAACAATCGAAGTGTCTTATCGGATGGTGAACATGTAAATGTCCTAAAATGTAATCTAAGAACACAAAGAACAATATCTATTCAAAATTAAATAAATATGTAGAATAATCTCTGTTCAAAGAAGAATCAGTCACATAGAATAATCTCTGTTCAAAATCTGTTAATCATAGTGAATCATGCATCCTAATTTGAGTCCCATACCCAAAAATCTGCCAGTGAAAAAAAGAATCAGTCCCGAGGCAGTTAAATTAAAATATATACTCTTTGCTCATCAAACCAGAGTCTCAGACCCAAAATTTTCATTAAAAAAATTCAGTACGTGGCTTCAATGGTCGAGGATGAAGGGTCTTCAAGCTTCTAGGATCTTCGAGGGTCTTCGAGGCTCGTCGAGCTTTGAGAATCTACGAGCTTCGAGGGTCTTCAACAGCTGAGGGTGGAGCGTCTTCAAGTGAGAAATGAGAAGCCTAGCTCCGAGAGGGGAATTTGCGAGTGATTTGGGGAAGAAAACGACGGAGGCGGAGAGAATTAGGGTTACGCGATGGGCGGATGGGGAATAGAATAGGATAGTGTTGCTTTTGTTTAGCGAATAGCGGGTCAGTTATGGAAAAGAGGGCCTTTGTTCTTCAAACCCAAACCAGTACTTAGAATGTTAATTTTAGAAAAATCAGGTGATGTTGAGTACACGAGAAATCGACCATTTTATTGGATTTTCACTGATATATTGGAAAAAAACTGTCTAAAAATAATATGCGATAAGTTTTCGCAAAAATCGCTGCGGGCATTATCCAAACCCAATATATCGGCGATAAATCGATAAAATAGGACGATTTTTAAAACACTGGTTGAAGGCTAGCTGGGGTTCTAAAGTTGCAACTGAAAAATAGTGCAGTTGTAGGAAAAGTAATCAATAAAACATTTCTGGAATAGTGAATAGATAGCATGGACTTTTGTACATCTTCTATTGCTACACTGTTATGATATCTGGGTTGACTCTTAACTTTTATTTAAGTGAGATGTTTCAAGTTTTTTCTTTTGTGTCTGAGTTGCCTGTGAAATTGTTAAAGATCTAATATAAAGGAGGGTTGAAAGATATGGTAGGTGAAATTCAGAGTAAAAAATTATCCTCCTTTTCCCTTTTCTCTCTCTCTCTCTCTCTTTTATTGTTTTATTTTTTAACCATCAACATAATCAGAAGAGAAGAGCAAGAATATTGTGAGGAAAGTTTAATAGAACAACTTAAGAAAATTTATTGGTGTGACATGATTTGTAGGTTAGCTCTCAAAGCATTCACTGACCAGAAGAGGCGGTTTTTCCCTCACCTTGAAGATGAACCATTTGGACAAGAATGTGAAGAGGAGTCGGGTGTGTCCAAGAAGCATTGCAGTTCTCAGGGGTTGGCCATGAGTCTCAGGGACAAGTTCAGGGAACAAAAGACATTGTCTGACATTCTTACAAACTTGGAACAGGAGGTACATAACGTGAAGCTTTACACATATCAGCGCCTAGATTGGCTGAAAAGAGCATCTTCATTATCATCTTCGTCGATTGATAATGCGGGTGACTCATCGAGAGAAAGCTTCCACAACGCAAAAAGACTAAAATCAGGTTCCGGGAATGCTCCTGCGGATCAAGTAGCTGTTATCGAGCTACTAGTGCCTTCTGTTTTTAGAGCCGTGGTATCATTGCATCCGGCTGGTTCTATAAGCCCTGACGCGGTGGCATTCTTCTCTCCTGATGAGGTGAACTTACTCCAAGAACATGTTACTGATTGTCAAGTCAATTTTCAAACTTTTGGAAATCTGTGTCAATATACTTGTTTTAAATTATAAAGCGGGTTTCCCTTTTTTTTATTCCAAAAGACATTTTCAGACTTTTGGAAATTAGTTAATTGATAAATAATTTAAATTGTTTCAACTTTCAAAATTTTGTCTCTCTTCTGACAGACCTTACACACTTAAACAACTTGGCAGCTCATACCACCTGCAGTCTTTGGTGCTAGATGTTAGTCACATTAACCGCTTATCATGTTAGATTCTATTTTCTTGCCACAACTCCTGTGACTAGCCCTTTTGGTTGTCCAAAAATTTAGAGACGCCGCTTATTATTTGACCTTGCCAAGCACCACTAGGGATACAAAATAATCCCTTTATGCAGATTAAAAAAATGTTGTTGTTACACTTTTGATATACAAGAGGATTATACATGTCAGTGTACTCACATCAGCTTGTGCGCGCATGCGTGCGTGTGTTTGTATGTTGATTAAAGACAAGTTTTCCCTATCACAAATTTCTGCTGCTAAAACAATTAAAGAGCTCAAATCGTGGACATTATGAAATGGTTTTCTAGTTATGTAAATCAATTGTTACTCGAATCTTATTGAAAATAAACAAATTGTACAAATACAAATTGAAGAAAATACTGAACTCATCATTCATAAGTTGGAATTTTAATTTCTTAGTAAATACACCTGTGGTTTCTTTCACACTTCCAGAATATGTTACAAAGTTTAGGATACATTAAAAGAATATCTAATACCATCAAGTATTGCAGTATCCAAATATTAGGAAAGTATTCAATACGGCACAGAAAGTACTTGTACAAACTTGACTCCTTCCGGATATGTTCTTTCACAATCTTTTATTTTCTTGACAAATGTAAGACGAGAAGAATCGGCATCTCTTAGACTGTATCTGATTTAGTTTTTCTTCACGTAGGGTCCATTGAGGGTATCGTTCTCCTTCCGGAAACTGAGTTAAATTTACAAAGAGGATTCTTGTAAACAATCCTAAAGATTTAGGACAAAAGATCTTGTTTTTCTTTTGTTCAAGAAAGCTCTTACCCTTTCATATGGGTATAGTGAAAATAATTGGTGATTACTGGGAACTGTGTATATTTGCTATGATGCACGGATACGGATACGGGACACGAATACGACACGGGATACGGCAAAATCCAAAAAAATAGGATACGAGGATACGGCAATGATTTAAAAAAAATTATTATATATAGAAAAATTTATAAAACTCAATTAACAATCTAAAATATGAATCTATCACAAAATAACAAGTTTGTAAACAAAAAGTACCTCAAGATGAAGTGGAAGCTGAGAGATTGAGAGATATGATTAGGTTAGGGTTAGGGTTTTTGCTTATTTTCTTTCGTTGGAGTCAGCTGAGGATCGAATCGAACGGGAGATTTGAGAAATAGGGATGGGTTTTTTAATCGAACGGTTCGGGTTGGATTTTAACAACCAAACCCGCAACCCGAATAAATCGGCTTTCGACGAATCCGAGCCGTGTCCGAGCTCCTTTGACCGTGTCCGAGCCTAATTTGACTGTTGACCCGTGTCGGGCACGGATTGACCGTGTCCGATTCGAGTCGGACACGGATTCGTGGCCTCCGGGGGCGAATCCGTGCTTCAGAGTATATTTGTCATCTCATATTGGGCATATTCGGTTCGGTTTGGTTTTAAGCTCAATCCGCATCCAATCCGAATTTTTTGGATTCTTAAAACTCTCATCCAGATCCAGATTTTTTTCCCTTCATCCGAATATTCGGCCTAACCGAAATTCGGATCGGTTCGGATCGGTTTCGGTTTTGGACCGAATTAATTCCATTTCACAAAAATCTACCCACACCTGAGATGAAAGTTTACAAATCCTTGATTTTGCAAAGGTTTTATGGTGTGATAATTGCCTATCAAACATGGAATAAGTTCATGAGAAATGGATGATTTGAGAATTACCTTCATAGTATAGAACACTCCAATATATCCACATCTTTCCTCGGGACAGAAGTACATAAAACATTACATAAGCATAAGATACTAAGATAGATGACTGTATCTTAATAAACTTCCCAAATGCAACAAGACGTGTATGAATTGAATTTGCTACTTCTCTTTCATGGACACTGACATGCAAATTTGACCGGTGACCACCGCTAGACAGCTAATTAAACAGTAGGGAAACTTATAAATACCATTGTCGTAAACAATATTTTTATCAGATAAATGAACTACTTAGTTCAAGTATCACAGTATCACTATCATCTTTGTCACAAAATCAAAATTATTGGTCAGCTAGCGCGGACTAAACTAAGAAAACGACAAAGAAGACCTTGCCGGCCGCTAGAGTTAGAAAAAGAGGATCGCGTCTCTGATCAGCCACCATTACGAATTCGGCTTTTCCTCTCAAGCACAAAAAGGACATTTTATCAAATATCGTCAAAAATCAAAACTTTTCTTGAGTTTCTACAAGAATCTTAAGGAGAGAGAAGAGAAGAGGAGAATAATTAGTTACCTTCGACTTCGGACTTCGATTTCTTGCGATTTTAGGCAGCAAAATTACCTGAGAGAAGGGGAGAGAAGTGTTAGGGCGGGTTAGGGATCCTGGGAGTGGGATTGGCGGTGTTGTGGTGTGGGATTGGCCCGATTGGGAGAAATGGAGTTAGTGTTAGGATTTTTCAGTATTTATATTAAAGAAATCGGTTCGGTTTTTTTTCGGGCGGTTCAGGGGTTCAAACCGGATCCAGACCGGTTTAATTCGGTTCGGGCGGTTTAGAGTCTTTTTCTCATCCATTTAATTCGGTTCGGTTAACCGGCCCGCTTTTTCGGGCGGTTTTTTCGGTTGAACCGGTTTTTTTCGGTTTTTGCCCACCCCTCATATTTTCTGTAGATAGTTTTTTGGGTATTGGCTCCACAAACAAACATTTGACTATTGGAAATATAATACTCTGCATGCTGTGCTATGAAGTGAAAAGGATAGTAAAAATTTATGGTATTCTTGTGGAATTTAACATTTTTTGTACAATCTGAATATTACTAAAACTGAATATTAATAGGATATGTTTTATTTTCTTTTTTTCTTTTTTTTTTGTTTTTTAAATGCTTTAATACAACATTTTTTATAGTATAGGAAGTAGAATGCATCAGATATGCTTGACTATATTCCGAAGAAGAGTTGGGTTCAAAGAGTTTAATTCTTTACTTCCTGGATCATACTCAAGACTATCATCCTTTACCAGTTCTAACTGCAGAATTTGAACATTTAATCTTTCTCAGAGCGGAAACTATATTCATGCACGAGGCTTGTCAATCTATCATGTGTTTAGGCATGTCACTGTGAGTTCTGCTTTCATGGCCCTTCTCCCTTTACAATTAATTTCTAGATTTGAATTATTTTAACCTGTTTTTATTTGCTTTCTGTTGCAGGAACATGCTGATAAGGCGCTGCAGTATTTCCTGAGTGCTGAGGCTGATATTGCACTTTCTCTACTTCTGGTAGTTTCACCATGTACTTGATGGACTTTTCTTTTTCTGAATCCAATGTTTACATACAAGGGAGAATATTACTGTTTGTTTCAGATGCTCCTTGTACATGAGGAGCCAGCTCCTTGAGGAGCTGAATGGAGGACAAATTTTCAAAGCCAACCAGTTTGCCAAAAAATTCCCAAAAACACCCGTTTCAAACTTAATTTCAAAAACCGACCCAGTTGGGTTGAAACTGGGTCGGTTTTTGAAAAAAAAATTCCCAAACTTCCTGGGAGTTGAAGTCCCGTGAAGTTTTGTTATATAAAGAACTTCACGAGACTTCAACTCCCGTGAAGTTTGGGAACTTTTTTTTCAAAACCCGACCCAGTTTCAGCCTACTGGGTCGGTTTTTGAAATTAAGTTTGAAATGGGTCATTTTTTGGGAATACAATTCAAAACAGGTCGGTTTTGAAAATTTGTCCGCTGAAAGGAAGAAAAGATTCACGTAGTCAACACCGTAATTTTTGATATTGTTGGGATCTTCGTAGCTCCTTTCAACATTTTATATAACCAAGAGTGGTCTCATCAAACATCTGTGTAGTTTAAGGCTTCTAATGATAAATCTGATTCTTGAATCTGCATACTGATCATTTACTCTGAACCTTTTTGCAGCATTGGGTTTGCAGTTATCAAACACTATTCTCAAAGGCTTGCTGGTACATTTGCCTTTTCAATGCTTATCAATGGTACAGTATATGTTTGCTCTTATTCAAAATGTTTATACTATATTTCTGGTGCAGTAAATGCAAGCGGCTTCTGGTTATGGACAAATCTTCTGCATTGCTCTTGCCCCCTGTTCAACGCCCCTATCAGCAAACTTCTGTTACCAAGCTTAACCCCAACCAATTGTCTTCTTCAGCTAAGGACCTAAGCCAAGATCAAACACTTGCATATCACATTGGTTGTTCTTTTGATGAAACCCAGTGAGCGTAGATGCTTTTGTCGACTAACTTCCTCAACTACAATCCTTGCTGACCAATTTTTGTTTTTCTTGTCAGCAATGCGTCTTTAGTGGTAAGCACCCTCCTAACTTTTTTTGACATTTGATGGAGAAGTGTACTTTTCCCATGTATTATATATTGTATGCACTACTCCTGCCTAACGGCAAGACATGAATTTGATAGTCCTAGATTACTATTTGAAGTAGGTCTATTTCTTTTGTTAGATGAGGTCTTGCTATTGCCTGCTTTTTTCATTTGCTTCATTTACTTTTATTGTATGTAATGCTAGCAAACCAAGCAAGAGCTTTTGTTCACTGCTTAGTTCTGCAGAATGTGAATCTGCTCCTGCTAACATCATTGGAATGTTTGGCATCGTTATGTAGAAATATCTGCGGGAGTACAAAGTTGCCATTATATTAGTTGTTGAATTAGGGATAGTTATCCTGTGCCTGACTTCTAGTGGCGACTATTTTTACAAGCTCCAAGGTCTGCTCACTTCCTGAAACCAATTCTTACTCCCATATCTAGGAAGTCGAAAATGAAGTTTGACGTGTGGATAATGTAATGAGCGAAGTTGGTTTTAACTTTGACCCGTTAACTGTTAAATTTTGAACAGAGCAAGGTTTATACTCCTTGCGTGAAGAAAGAGGGAAGAAGCTATTTTGTTGAGAAGTCAAAGACATGGACACAGTGACTATAAATGTTTATGAAAAGATTCGTTGCAAAGGATATACTTTTTGAAGATGGTGCAGTAATTTGAAAATGGTGATATCAAACCGTCTTCCTGCCACATCAGGTTAGAGTAAGCATCATTGTTTTTGTTTTTAGGCCCAATTGTTTACTCCACTTTATTTTTAAACCCACCTACTATTACTTGTATCTCTAAACCCAACTCTTTTTTTGTATTTATCTTTACACCCAAGTATACTTTCATATGTGGGTCCCCTTAAATATTTCTCTTAAATTCCCATTATAGCCTTCATTAAGTGCCCCCCCCTCTCTCTCTCCCTCCCTCCCTCACAAGAACCCGATCGAGATTCTCAATGGCTGGATCCGCGGCGGCGTAGAAGGCGACGTCGAGGAGCAGCAAGGCCGAGAACAGTGCAATACCTTCTAGAGTCTATCCGGCAGTACCTTCTAGAGGACTGCTTGCCACCGCGGCTGACAACAGTGTAGGCTGATGCGGCAGCTCCCGCAGCGGTGGAGAGGCGCTACAGAGGGGTGAGATAGCGGCCACGGGGGAAGTTTGCTGCCGAGATGAGAGATCCCGGGAAGAATGGGGCCTGGGTTTGGCTCGGGACGTTCGAGACGGTGGAAGAGGCCGCGATGGCGTACGACCGGGCGATGTTTTGGATGCGAGGGTCGAGTGCCATACTTAACTTTCCTCATCTTGTTGGTTCTCATCAGTGTTGTTGAAAAAAATATGTAAGGTTAAGGGTAGAGTTGTGAAATTTGGAGGAAATGTTTAACAAAAAATGAATGATGAATGTTCGGATGATATATGAGCAATCCAATAGGCTATTGATTTTTACACACACTGTGGTTTATGCTTTGATAAATGCTGGAGTACTTATTGAATGATAATTTGACAATGTCTCCGTTTGATCAACAACAAACTTTCATTTGGTACTAATGAGTTTGTGAGATGATATATTTTAGGAATAAACGGGTGCAAATAAGTGACGACTCGAAATAATGCAAACATCAACATGAGTTGTAGATTTTAGTCTTTAACCATCGATGGTCACAAGTCAACCATTGATGATCGACAGGTTATCGATAGACTGCAATCTATGTGCTATACTTACATAATAATATGCTATACTTACATGGATAATGTGTTATACTTACATGATAACGTGCTATATTTACATAATAACATGCTATACTTATATGGTAACATGCTATACTTACATGATAACGTGCTATACTTACGATATAACGTGCTATACTTATATGATAACATGTTATACTTACACGATAACGTGCTATACTTACAGCATAATGTGCTATACTTACAGTATAACGTGCTATACTTACAGTGTAACGTGCTATACTTACATGATAACGTGCTATACTTACAATTTAACGTGCTATACTTACAGTACAACGTGCTATACTTACAGGATAACGTGCTATACTTACAGGATAACATGCTATACTTACAGGATAACGTGCTATACTTACAGGTCAACGTGCTATACTTACGATATAACGTGTTATGCTTACGATATAACGTGTTATACTTACAATTTAACATGCTATACTTATAATTTAACGTGCTATACTTATAATTTAACGTGTTATACTTACAAGTCAACATGCTATACTTACAGGTCAACGTGCTATACTTATGATATAACGTGTTATACTTATAAGTTAACGTGCTATACTTACAATTTAACGTGTTATACTTACATGTTAACGTGCTATACTTACGATATAACGTGCTATACTTACAATTTAACGTGCTATACTTACAGGTCAACGTTCTATACTTACATGTTAACGTGCTATACTTACGATATAACGTGTTATACTTATAATTTAACGTGCTATACTTATAATTTAACGTGCTATACTTACGATTTAACGTGCTATACTTACGATATAACGTGCTATACTTACAATTTAACGTGCTATACTTACAGGTTAACATGCTATACTTACAGGTCAACGTGCTATACTTACATGTTAACGTGCTATACTTACGATATAACGTGTTATACTTATAATTTAACGTGCTATACTTACAATTTAACGTGCTATACTTACATGTTAACGTGCTATACTTACGATATAACATGCTATACTTACAGGTCAACGTGCTATACTTACATGTTAACGTGCTATACTTACGATATAACGTGTTATACTTATAATTTAACGTGCTATACTTACAATTTATATGAACAGTTAAAACCCAACCCGAAACCCAAACAAACCCGACACAGAAAAAAACCCAGAAAACCCTCGATGAGTTGACTCATGTTCAGTCGTGAGTCGACTCATGACTCATGGGTCGACTCATAAGGTGATGAGTCGACTCAGCAGAGACTTTTGACAACAGGAGTTGATATCATGAGTCGACTCATGACAGTCATGGGTCGACTCAACCTGATGAGTCGACTCATGATGATTTATGGGTCGACTCATGAGCTGAAAATTGGGTTCTTCGACTCTGCTGCTCGCCGACTCGTTCGACGCTACTCCTGCGCTGGTTGACACTACCATAACTCATCAAAATGCACGGGGTTTTACAGTTAACGTGCTATACTTACAGGTCAACGTGCTATACTTACAGGTTAACATGCTATACTTACGATATAACATGCTATATTTATAATTAACGTGCTATACTTACAATTTAACAAGATATACTTACAGGTTAACGTGCTATACTTATGATATAATGTGTTATACTTACAATTTAACGTGCTATACTTGCAATTTAACGTGCTATACTTGCATGTTAACGTGCTATACTTACGATATAACGTGCTATACTTACAATTTAACGTGCTATGCTTACAGGTTAACATGCTATACTTACAGGTCAACGTGCTATACTTACATGTTAACGTGCTATACTTACGATATAACATGTTATGCTTACGATATAACGTGTTATACTTATAATTTAACGTGCTATACTTACAATTTAACGTGGTATACTTACATGTTAATGTGCTATACTTACGATATAACGTGTTATACTTACAATTTAACGCGCTATACTTACAATTTAACGTGCTATAATTACAATTTAACGTGCTATACTTACATGTTAACATGTTATACTTACAGATTAACGTGCTATAATTACAGGTTAACGTGCTATACTTACGATATAATGTGCTATACTTACAATTTAACATGCTATGATTACAATTTAACGTGCTATACTTACAGGTTAACGTGCTATACTTACAATATAACATGCTATACTTACTTCATAACGTGTTATACTTTCAATATAACGTGTTATACTTACTCCATAACATGCTATACTTTCAGGTTAACGTGCTCTACTTAAATGTTAACGCGCTATACTTACAATATAACGTGCTATACTTACTTCATAGTGTGCTATACTTACTTCATAACGTGCTATACTTTCAATATAACGTGATATACTTTCATATTAACGTGCTATACTTACTCCATAACATGCTATACTTTCAGGTTAACGTGATATATTTTCATGTTAACGTGCTATACTTATAATATAACGTGTTATACTTACAATTTAACGTGCTATACTTACTCCATAACGTGTTATACTTACAATACAACGTGCTATACTTTCAGATTAACGTGCTATATTTTCAGGTTAACGTGCTATACTTACAACATAACGTGCTATACTTAATCCATTTCTAGACAATACAACATGCAAACAATATAAAACATTGCATATCCAGGAGACACAAAACACTGCATATCCAAGAAAACATTGCATATCCAAGAGACACCAAACATTGCATATCCAAGAAAATACAACATTGCATATCCAGGAGATTGACAAACTATATACATAACGTGCTATACTTAATCCATTTCCAAACAATACAACATGCAAACAATATACAACATTGCATATCCAGGAGACACAAAACACTGCATATCCAAGAAAACATTGCATATCCAAGAGACACAAAAAAATCAAGAAGTTTCTTCAACCATTCCAGCACATACAACACGCAAACAATGGTTATTGTCTAAAATAAAGTTAACCATCAATATCAATGACTTAGAAGCATGCAAAACTTTACATAACCCAGTAATTTAACCACAGTGGCTATAATCTACCACAAAAGACACAAAACACTATGGACTACATAATCAACATATATTTATACAAATACTTTACAAATCAATTTCCAAAATATATTTGTACACAAAAAATATTGGATATCACAATCTCCTGACAAGAAGTAATGTCTAAATTCCAAGCATCGGGAATGGTAGAAATAAGATTCACTCTAAACTCACAAGCATCAGACATATACCCGCGAAGAAAAGAATAATGATAAAATCTTCTATCCTTTACAGAGAATACCAACATATGCCAATGAAATGAAGTTAGGAGTGAGAAAATAATCTTATCAAGTTTTTGGAATTGAGTTGTCGTCATTGGCTTAAACATTCGATCCACACTCGATGGGTTATTTTCATTAATGCATCTCTAAAAAAACAAAGAAAGTTAAGATTACAGTTACCCATGGACTACATCCTGTTGGATATTACCTTTCAGTTGAAAGTGATAGATCATATTTATTCTTTGAGAAATAAAGGATGTAAGAAGTGGCAAACAGTCAATTTTCTATAATGCAAGAGATGCATTTTGCAGCTAGAAATATCTAGTAGAACAATTTTTCCAAAATATGCAAACATCTTTCAGTTTAAATATAGTGTACACACAGTTAAAGTATGCCACAAAATGCCCCAAAACTGCGAAGACAAGGGACAAGGGTGAACTATATCCAGTAAGTAAAGTCCACAATGACTCTAGGCAACAAATTCAGATTACCATCAATATCTCTTTCTCTGACTTCAAATAAATTGTTCCACATAGTTCCCAAAAAAATAATAAATAAATAAATAAATAAACTTACAGTTTTTGTATTTTAATCTCATCTGCACTCTAATACTATGCTCCAATTATATACATATTTCGATGCCTAATCTCAAAGTTCCCAGTTATCATTTGCGAACATAAATAAGCAGAAATTACCAAAAAAATAAGAAGATAATTAAGTTGAACTACTAAGTTGACCTCAATTTAAGAAAAATTAGTAAGAGCTCTCAAAAGAACTGAGGTCACCTGATGTAAGAATCGTCTCAAGGACCGCCATCGTCTGCTCCTCGGTCATCGGCTTCGTCTGCTCCGGTCCCGTGCAAACCCTAGCCTAGGCCTCCAACACTATCTGCTTCGGTCTCGGGATATCGGAGCTCCGATACGACGTCAACACCGCCGAATTCGGAGGATCCGAATCTAATTGCAGTCAAATCAATCCTCTCTGAGTATTGAGCGGACCTCGAGGTCGAGCCCCGCCGGTTGAGCGAGAGGCTGATTCGGGGAGTATGAGGGCTGAGAGAGATCCAATCGGTTGAGCTTGAGAGGTTGGACTGTTTTAAAGGAGAGGTTTTGGTGAAATTAGGGCTATGGTTAGGGTTTGGATAGAGGAGAGAGTTCATGATGATACTTTGGGGGAGGAGAGCGTTGAGATTCATTGTTGGGGGTCAGGTCCTCTTGGGATGACGCTGTGGACTGACGAAAGGAGGGTGCTCTGAGAGGGCGACGGTGGCTGGAGACGGGCGACGGCGGCAAGGAGCTTTCGTCTTTTAATTTAGGGCTGAGTTGAAAAGGGGAAGATGAAGAGATATAGTGGTTTATATGGGGAAAGGGGTATTTTGGGGTTTTTACCTTGATTTTGTATAAATACAAGTACTAAAAGTATTGTATTTTGGAGATTAGGTTTAAAGAAAAATACCAAAAGAGAATTGGGTTTAAAGATACAAGTAATA